GTCCGCGGGGCTGCGCTAACGTAGGGGATTCACCAGGCTCCCTGCTCCCCTGCCCCGCCCGGCTCCGTCCCGGCTCGCTCTGGGTCCGGACCGATCCCCGCTGTGGCTCTGCACTGAAGGGTATTAGGGGCTGGGGGACAGGCGGGCCAGGCCCGCCCCCTGCTCTGTCTGCGTTTGAAATCTGGTCTCCAACCTTTCTAACCAGAAGATCCTTTTCAAGTGCAATGTAAGACCCTCACACCCAAACACCCCTGCTCCACCCCCTCCAAGGCCTCGGCCTGCTCGCTCATCCCCCCTCCTCCTCTATCCTCACTCACTTTCACCAGACTGGGGTAGGGAGCTGGGGTGCAAGTTCTGGGCTGGGGCCAAGGGATTCAGTAAATCCCTTATCCCAGGGTAGGGAACTGGGGTCCAGGAGGAGTGTCAGGGTGCAAGCTTTGGGAAGGAGTTTGGGTGCAGGGGGGCTAACTTCTGGGTGCAGGGGGTTCAGGGCTGGGGCAGGGGTTCAGGAAGCAGGCTTTGGCTCACCGCCTTTTCACTGAGACAGCTTCTGGGTGGTGGAGCAGTGGAGTTAAGGCAGCTTACTCCTGCCCTGGCTCTGCACACTCCTTGAAAGCAGCTGGCTTGTACAGCCATGGCACCATGTGCTGCCCCATATGTTCAGGCACTGAGCCCACAGCTTCTGCTGGCCACAGTTCCCCGTTAGTAACCAGTGGGAGTAGCTGGAGCGGTGTCTGCAGGCAGGGACAGCATGTGGAGACCCCCCTGCTCTGCCTTTCTCAGGGGCTGTAGGGACATGTCAGCCACTTCCAGGAGCAGCAATCACCATAAGCAGGGCTTGAAAAATTCCGACAGCTTCGGCATTTCAGAACTCCCTACTCAAAGAATGACATGTAAGCGTAAGTGAGAAATGAAAATTATGAAATGCACAGACCAGTCAAAAACCAAAAAAATTACACTTCTTTACTGCTTGCAGAGTGTAACAACAACCCCCCACGGATGTGTTGGGTTTGGAGAAGAGAGTGAAGGACAGTGTGTGTTTGTGAGAATACTGCCCCCCACCCCCTCACCCTACCCTGCTGTCCTGACTCCTGCCCTTTTCACTGCCCTCAGCCTTCCTGAGACCTACCCCCCTCCACCAGCTCTTCTCTTCCCCCTCCCCGTGCCCACTCCTCCAGTAGCCCCACTCTAATCATGTGAGCTACCCCTTTTCATCCCCTCTCCTAACACCTCCCCCTACACACCTGCCCTGTTTCTCTCCTCTGGTCCCTCCCCTGCAAGTGTCTGCCCTTCTGCTTCACCCTCAGAATCCCCTGGCACCTGCACCCTCCTGGTGCCTCCCCCTTCCCTCTCTGCCCCTGCCCCTTTTTCCCTGATGCCCACCCTATGCCCCCATTCTCCTCATGCCCCTGTGTCCTCTCACATGCCTTGCTCCATCTCTGCCTCTCATTCCCACCCCTTCTTTCAAGCCTTCTCCCAGCACCTCCCCCTTCCCCCTTTGGACCCCAATCCCCATATCCTCTCCTCTTCCAGCATCACCCTGTCTCCCCTCCCACTGACACCTCCCCTCCTGCCCTTTTCCTCATTGTCTCCACTTGGCCCCCTGGCATTTGTGTCTCCTCCTGCACCCCCCTGGTGCCTCCCCCTTCCCTCATTGCCCCTGCCCCCTTTGCTCTCTTTTTCCCTGATGCCTACCCCCTCACCACCCTCTGCCCCCATTCCCCTCATGCCCCTGTGCCCTCACACATGACTTGCTCCATCCCTGCCTTCCTCATGCTGACCCCTTCTTTCTAGCCTTCTCCCAGCACCTCCTCCTCCCCCCTCTAGTCCCCAGTGCCCTTACTCTCTCCTTTCCCGGCATCACTCTGTTCTCCCCTCCTGCCCTTTTCCTAATTGTCTCCACTTGGCCCCCTGGGATTTCTCTCTCCTGCACCCGTCCCTTGGTGCCTTCCCTTTTCTTCTTCTTCTCCTGACCTCCTCCCCTCTCTTCCCCTCAGCACAAGTCCCTTCCCCATATTTTTCCCCTCCCCTTCTCTCCCCACAGCCCAGCCTCTTCCCCTCCCCCAGAGACAGCTCTAGGTTTTTTGCTGCCCCAAGTAAAACATTTCCCCCCTCCTTTTGTTTTCTTTTACATGTTTGCATTTCCCATTTTTTCCCCCCCCCCACACCCCGCCCCAGCCCAGCCCCTTCCTCTCCCCCAGGGCCAGCTCTAGGTTTTTTGCTGCCGCAAACAAAACATTTGGCCACACACCCCCTTTTTTGTTGTTGTCTTTTACACGTTTGCATTTTGCAATGGTTTTTTTTGTTTTCATTTTTGTCCCAGCATTTTAGCCCTATAAATAGCAAGTAGCATTTTCATTTGTTTTTTTTTTTCCATAAAGGCAAAGGTGCTTCAAGTGAACTCCCCCTTCCACTCTCTGCTGGGTCATAGCAGCCTTTTCCCTGGCCTGTCCAGACCCTCCCTATGGACAAACACCCCTCACTCCCGACCCACAGGGGAAATAGGGTGCAGGGACAGCACAGAGCCAGAGGGGTGCAGGGAACAGTGTGGGGGGGGGGTACAGGGGTGGCACGGGGAATGGGAGGCACTGATCCAGACGGGTGCGGGGTGCGGTGGAGACACTGGGAATGGGAGAGGCAGAGGGATCGGGGTCTAGGGGCAGTGCAAGGAACGGGCAGCACAGAGCTGAGGGCAGGGATCGGAGGGGAGCAGGGTGCAAGGGCGGCACAGAGCCAGAGAGTTGCAGGGAAGAGTGAGAGCAGGGGGTCTGGGGTACAGGGGAGTAGGGGTGGCGCGGGGAGCGGGGGGGGGGGGTGCAGCAGGCCGGGAGGTTGGCCGGGAGCGGGGTCTCACCGGCGATAGGGTATGAAAATTATGAAATGCACAGACCAGTCACAAATCCAAAATAATCCACTTAGCAAGCAGTACAGGAAGTAACAACCACCCTCCATGTGTGTTTTGGGTCAGGAGATGAGTGTGTCGGACAGTGTGTTTGACTGACACACACACACACAGAGAGAGAGAGAGTGAGTGTGTGTGTGTGTGTGTGTGTGTGACAGATTTGCATTGCCAAGCTCCCTCCATCTCCTTCTCTCTGAAAGTGGCAGGAGGAGGGACACCCTGACATCAGTGACCTCCTTTTTCTCCCTCCCACACCCTGCACTGCAGGAAGGAGGCTTGGGGGGAGGGGGCAGCTCCAAAGCAGAGGGCAGGAGCAGCGTGAGAATGGGTGGAGGGGCAACTGAAGTGCCAGCGCTTGCTAGCTTCCTGGCCAAACCAGTCAGGATCTCTTGTCAGAGGCTCCAAGATCTACCGGTAGATCCTGATCTTCTGGCTGGTGACCACTGATTGAAAGTGTATTAGGAGCCAGGTGGGCAGGCAGCCTGGTTCATTTCCGTCTTGTGCCGGGTCCAGGAGCTCACCCTACCCCCTGATAGGGGCTGCTGCCTCTGTGTCAGTGGCAGCAGTGCAGGGCAACAGGCAGCCGGTCCGCAAGGGGAGCTGTTTTTTAAAACTGGCTCCATTCGCGGACCAGCTCCCTCCTGGCACCCCGTGCTGCTCCCTCTGATACAGAGGCAGGAGCGTGGAGTGGCAGGGGCTCCTCGGGAATGGGGCCAGAGCGCACTGGCTGCCGGCCCCGCCCCCAGGGACTCTAGAATAATCGAGTAACCGATAAGAATTCATGAGGTTAAGCGACTATTCCGTTAACCGATATTTCACATCCCTACCCTGGAAGGGAGGCTTTTCGTTTTCTTTACTTTCTTGGTTTGTGCTGAAGCTGGACACAGCATTTTGTGTCTTACTTTTTTTGGCATCAGAATTGAAAAGAATTGAGACTTTCTGAATTAGAGCCATATTGT